CTTCCATCATATAGACATCACCACTTGATTCTTCAATAGCTAAAAATGCAGGAAGAACCCTACAAAAATAAAGATTGCAAAACACCAGGCTCCTAGCTCGTCCTCAAATGTTAGTCAGGATTGCACCACAGATAATTTATGCACATACTCTGGACTATTGATCAATTGTTCCTTGTACATTTGACTAAACTGCTCGACCAATGAGCGGCAGACCATTTGCGTCTGAATTTCCTAAAACAAAGTCAACATGTTGTATCGGTTTTAAGATAATGCATTTCACTGTACTGTAACTTTGATCTTTTCTAGTTTCAAAGTTTTATGCAAAATTTGCCAAATGCATCTATATTAATAATTTGTTGGGCTATTCGAAAAGTACACGATGATACGCATTGAAAACTGTCTATATTTTATCTATGAGGGCATTATTTTAGAATAAGTAGAAAATGGTGTTTTATAAAAATAGTGCAATGCACCTGGGACCTATTGGGCTCATGAGCAATGCTTCATTTTATTGTTCACTTCCTAACCAATGGCAATGACGGTACACCTTGTGCTTCATCATTTACAATCCATATTTTGCAGATATGTACTAGAAATAAGCGGATTTATGTTTTGAGTAAAACTTTGCCGATATGTAGCAGGTTTTTTTAATAATCTTAACTTGCCTTTTTTGCAATGGATTTAATAGATCTGTTCTTTTCTTCCACTGCATTTACAACAATGTCATTATATTCTTTCAATAAAACATTTGTCCCTTTGGTGAAAGTATTTAACAAGTCGTGACGCAAACCCTCTAAAGCAGTTGCTTGTCTGGCTATTCTCATGCCACCTTTGCCAAACTCTTCCTCACTGACTTCCATTCACATGAACCAAGTATTTTCCATGACTTTGATTCAACAAAGAACGTCGAAATTTGAAAAATATCACCTTGTGATAAAAATTACAAATATATAGCTACACATATATACATATTGAGCCCGAAAATATTTGTTCCTTGCAAACATTCCAACCGTCCCGTTTTACCCGGGACTGTCCCGGTTTAGACTATGTTGTCCCGCTGTCCCGCTTTTACTCTAATTGTCCCGTTTTCCGTAATATGTTGAGGGTTGTTGTGTTTTCAGTAGTATTGAAAACGAATTTATCCAAATAATCCAATGGAAGCTTTAGTCTGTAGTAAATCATTTGTCGATTCAATCATCTTCGAACAATTTAGTTTTCGTGGCATGCAATGCCTGTATTTTGTGCTAGTTTCCATTCTCTTACATTAAAACGAGTTTACTAGTGTTACATGAAGTAAAGGGCATGAAAAAAGCAAATACAATATTTGTGGGCTCTTTAAGTGAAATTGGTGCAAATTTGACGTATTATTTGCAAATTTCTTACACACAACAAATACTTCCTTTACTAGTGAATATTAATTAAAAAGTAAATTACATCGTTAACTAAAATGTAATTATATCTCCATATACAAGTGTATTCTTGCAGCAGAAGATTAGATAATGTCACAGCCGGCAAAGAAACCAAAACGGCAAACAAAATATTCTGCAGAATATCAAAAGGAGTACCCTTTTATTCAAAAGTGCTCTTCGTCCGTGCCTGATCATCTGTACAAATTCCATTGTACCTCATGCAATGCTAATGTCTCGTGCGCTCATGGAGGAATAAATTATGTAAAGATTCACGTCGCAACGAACAAACACATATCCGCCCATCGCCAACGTGAAAGTAAGAAGTACTAATTTTACTGGCAATTTTTACATGTACTGAAAATGCACTGTATTTAATCATTGCAGTATTTTCAATTTTTTTTAGGAAACGTGAGAGTTGATCAGCTTTTCCGAAAATAGCCAACGAATAAGGATATCGAACCATCGATTGCCGCTGAGACAAAAATAGTAATGTTGATTGTCCAACGTAACACATTCTTTAACATCGCAGATCACCTTTGTCCACTCATCAGGAACGAATTTAAGGGCAGCGAAATTGCAGAGAGATTTAGTTGTAGCAGAACCAAGGTAGCGGCCATTGTCAACTGTCTTGGAGACCACTTCTTTGAAAATTTGGTAACAGATATGCAAAACCTCCCTTATAGCCTAATGTTAGACTCTAGCAACGATAATGGATTAGAAAAGATGTTTCCCATAACCGTTCGCATTTATGATGTCATAAATTGTGTGAAGATATCTCCACTGAAAACCAGAAAGATGATATGAGCTTAGGAATTGTTCCCGTTACAAGAAACACCATTAAACGTCTGCTGGATGGTGGGGAAGTCGACCAAGTGAAAGTTGATCAGTTCTTCAATGCAGTTAGAGCTTTCTTTGTTCAAGCGTACGAGTATTGTATTCAGTGGCTCCCACTAGACAATAGGTTCTTGAAAAACTGTGTTTTCGTTGATTTTGAGAAGCGAGCCGAAATGAGTTTCTCATTTGTCGAGGAAACCATCAGTTGTTTTAAGCGAGTGCACAAAGCAATACTTGAAGATCCAACGATGTTAGATGCTGTGGAAGAGCAGTTTTTGGACTACCAAGCTATGTGCGAAACAGATATTCCTCGAAATGTTTAGGATGCAGCACAAATGGGAGATATTGATGATAAACAATATCGCATGGATGTCATTTGGGGGTACTTAAAATCGAAACTCCCACTACTGAGCGAAATTGCATTATCCATTCTCCTCGTGATACCACACAGCAATGCAGGTGAAGAGAGAGTTTTTTCGATGATCCGGAAGAACAAAACAGAGTTTCGATCGCGTCTTCAGTTAGGGGGCTCGTTGAATGCCATAATGCGTATAAAAATGTCAGTTCCAAGAACCATCTCATGAATTGTTAAAGAAGTGCAAATCAGCAACTCGTGTCTATAACCAAAGTCACAGTTCAAACGACCAGTGATAACCGTTTTTATTTAGCAGTATATATTAGTTTACTGCAAATCTGTTACCTTAATTGGTACTGATTGAACAATAGTTTCAGTTTATTTCGCCAACAACTTGTTAAGAACATAAGGGGATGTTATATAACTTTTTTGTTATACTTCTAAGTCTAACGTTTGTGCTATAATTTAATACATAAAAGATGCCTGTGGATGACGCTACGTTTGTGCATTGCAACAAGTATTTTATTACCTTAAGCCCGCCGCACACGAGAGCTGTCGTGTGCGGATAGTTTTGGTGAGGAATTTGCCCACTGGCTCCAGAGGCAAGTTTCTCGTGTGCGGATGCTTTTCGGGCTGAGTTAACTGCCTCGCGAGGTCGTCAGCTCAGCTGACAGCTCTCGTGCGCGGCGGGCTTTAGGAAAATTGGGGATTCAGATTGTCCCGGTTTTGAGGGTTTAAAGGTTGGAATGTCTGTCCTTGCAATCTTGTTACCTGTATTCAGTATATCATCTAGTTTGTGTGGGAGGACAGATATACCACATCTAAGTACATCTTCCTTCAACAAAGAGGCATTTGCCTTGAATGATAAATTAGATGATGTCACAGTGAGATACATAATACTGTAATAGCCAACTTATTCTAACTTTGAATTTAGTGGTTGTTATAAACTCAGAACACAACTCAGGTGTGAGGAGATATATATATTAAAGAAGATTCCGTCGACTACATACAGCAGAATATTTACACGAGTTTATATAGCAAATCTTTTTGGGTTTTTTACTTGATTAACATAACAATACTTAATTGTTTAATTCGCATAATGAGTTTATATTAGTTTCGCCTATAACTACAATATATGTCAATAATGATCTCACAACATCCCTTTCTTCCCTCAACTTTGGAATCGATCCGGCACAAAAACTTCACGTCCTCGGCGCGTCACATAAACAGGTTGTCTGCCACATTGTGGATTGATCGACTGATCTACTACTTTGTCACAATCGTCTCTTGTCTCTGCTAGTTCTCCTTTCTCAAACTGCGATGTCTCACGTACGATCTTGAAATGTGACTTGTCTCGCATTTCCCATCAAATCGAGCTGTTACACTGTGTCCATGTATCTGGGTTACTCTACCCGGAATAATACTTAGTGGATCTGTTTGCCTGTTCTTCATGAGAACCCTGTCTCCAACAGCAATTCTGGACTTTTTCACATTTCTACGCTTATCGTGATATCTCTTGGACTTGAGTTTATACGAAGCATCATTCTTTCTGACTTCACAATCATATTCCTGCTTGAATGTATCTGATATTTCCGGCAATACACCAAGTCTCATTTTTCTTCCAAACATGAGCTCGAATGGACTTCTCCCTGTAGCAGGATGCGGTGTGGCACGGTATGCATTTAACATTCCTTCAATTAGATTGCGGTATTTCTTCTTCTCTACTTTTGCAATCCGCTCCATCTTCTTCAGGTTCTGCATAAATTTCTCTGCTTCACCATTTCCTCTTGGATGTCTAGGTTTCACAGGTTTATGTATGAATCCCTTCTCACAAGCATATTCACTGAATTCATGTCAATTGAATGGAGGTCCTCGATCTGACTTCAATTCTTTCACTGTTCCAAACGTTGAAAACCACAAATCCAGGATTGGTTTCACACATGAAAACGATGTGGATCTGCAGTAACTTACAACAGGATAATGGCTGTAGAGATCATACCCGACCAGGGCATAAGTTCCATCCTTAAACGGTCCCTTGAAATCCACAGAAATCGTATGCCAAGGACCTGGCGGCAATGGTGTTGATTGGAGCGGTTCGTCGTAGGTGCGATGATGGGTGAATTGACAGCTTTGACAATTTCGTACAATCTCTTTACATAGTTTGGCAATTCCAGGAAACCAGATCTTCTCCTGAAGAAGCTTCAGTGTGCGGGTTTCTCCTGAGTGCCCAATCTTATGCGCTTTCTGGACAAATTCTCTTTGACAACTGAGAGGGGGAATAACTTTATCTTTATACAGGATGATTTCTTCAACAACAGATAGGTCGGACGCTACTCCGAGAAATCTTGCAATTCTTCCATCATTTCTATGTCTTTTCCAAAGGTTATTCTGAATCACTTCTTTCAGGAACTGGTAGTCGCTATCATTTTCGCGATTTTCGAAAGGTACACGTTTTCTTCAGAGACTACTGCTCGTAATCCTTCCTCCATCTCGTTCACTGATTTCACCGTGGGAACATCGTTATGATTTTTCGTCAGGTGTCTTGATCCATAATCAGCGATGTTTTCAGCTCCCTTTTGGTACTTGACCACATAATCTAGACCTTGTATGGCAAGAATCTGTCGCTCGATTCGTAACGGTGCTTTCGACGCTGGGTTATTAAAGAGATGCACAAGTGGTTTACAATCCGTGATAATCTTGAACTTTGGCGCACCAACCAAATACTTATAGAAGGCATCAGCACACACAAATTTGATCGCAGCAGCTTCTAATTCGGTTTGTCCGTATCTTGTTTCAACATCAGTTAAAGCACGGTTGGCCACATGACACATTTTCCATTGTCCCTCATCGTCTTGTTGGCATAGAATGGCACATAGTCCCCCTGGAACGTTGCTAGATTTTTCTGTCTTCTTTCCAGCATCGACGTAGATCCTCATTGGTCTATCAGGAACAAAATAGGCAAGGGTTGTTTGCTCCGTCAAACTGTTCTTTAGACTTTCGAAAGCTTCCTGTTCTTTAGGTCCCCAGGAAAAAGTTGATGTTGATTTCAACTGTCGCAACGGTGCAGCAATCTGGGCGAAGTTAAAGATGAAACGAGACATATATCCCACCATTTGCAGAAAACTTCTTACTCCTTCTTTTGAGTTGGGTTTTCCACATTCTTGTAATGCTCTCACTTTCTCAGAACACAACTCAGGTGTGAGGAGATATATATATTAAAGAAGATTCGTCGACTACATACACAGAATATTTACACGAGTTTATATAGCAAATCTTTTTGGTTTTTTAGCTTGATTAACATAACAATACTTAATTGTTTAATTCGCATAATGAGTTTATATTAGTTTCGCCTATAACTACAATATATGTCAATAATGATCTCACAACAGTGGTCAATTTAGTGGTCATCAACACTGGGCATTGTAACAACATGAGATTGATAGGAAACAGCAAGGTGATGTACTAGGTATTATTCTTAACAGCACAGTACAATGTTATTATATAAGACCTCACTTATACACATGTTTATTAGAATCTCTTAAAAAACATTATTTAAACAATATTTTACCATTGACTTTACCAGATGCTTTTTGTTGAGTACCCACTACAGATTAAATTTGCTGACTATTGCTTGTTTCACTGCTGCTACTTGAATTATTGTTTTGCATTGCTGATAGAGATGCATTTTTCTAGAAGAAAGAAAAAATATTTAGGAATATTTCTGATCAGCTTGTTTTTGTGGACTGTCTGATCTTAATAAATTCTCAAAAAATTAATTATTTACCTCAACATACAAAAAATGAAAACTAGTTCTGTTGAATGTATAAGTATGATCTTTTACAATAGCTTTTCCATCCAATAGAAAAAGGTCCAATTTTTTTTCTTCCACCTCCTCGTCATACTTGTCTTTAGGGATATTCAAAAACTCCTCTGCACAAGCTTTTAAAACGTTTTCAAGTGGTGGTACTGTTCAATGTTATCTACAAAAAACAAGCAATTAAAAAATATAAATACTTACAACTACTGTATCAATACATATAATATATGTTCAGTACTACTTCTATCATTATTAATATACAATTTTAACTCAACATTATACCTGTCTTTGGTCTCCAACAGACACATACTTCTTGCTTCCATTGCTTGTGAACTGCAACTGTTTTAGCTGTACTTTAATTGTCTAAAATAACCCAACAGTAATTTTCAACTATACATAATATATTAATTGCAAGTTGGAATGATGGATTTTTCCAATACTGACCCTTCTAAACATTGCAGTATTTGGACGTTTTCTGCTCTTTTTGGGAACTGTTCCTGCAATGAATTCCATTCTTTTCCTTTTATTGAATTCTTTCATTTCAGAATAGGCTAAAGGATTACAAAAGCATTAGATATACTTGCTGCATGAGGGTAATTTGTTAGCAGTTAAATAAAACTTTGCTGTACACACTTTTTGGCATGTATACTGTTGTTTTCTTTGTGTCATCAGTACCTAAAATGCAATATAAGATATAAACAAAGATACACATCTATTAAACTATACTTCTTTAAGCAATATACATGCAGTAACAGATAAATAAAAATGAATGGTACTCCTATCTATGCAGTACTGTCAATTCTAGTTGTACCTTGACTACCTTCTGACATTGATACGCACCCAAGACCAACATGCTCACTTGGTAAATGTCCACAAGTGTAACAGTCATTAGTATTATGCACATGAACATATTTTTTACATGCACATGTGCATTTACCACCTCCGCTACATCCACTTTTAACCTCCTTGAAGCAAAAAATGATTTCATGGCAATATTAGATAAATAGTGAATCAGTTTAGATAAATTGAAAATAAAACAATTTAATAAAAAAATAATGGACACAATATTACATGACTTGCTGCAGGATGACCACATTCACGACAAACATTGCTACCAAGTTTGACGACATAATGAATGCAAGTGCATTTCCCACACTTTCCACGTAATACTTTATTGTGGTCTGAAAATACAATAATTTGCATAACCATATCTACTTTTAAAGTTTGCATAACAATTTTAACCGTAAATAAAACGCCAATAATATACAGTACTTACCAAAATATTCCTCTGATGCTGCCATTGTGATTGTTGATTGTGCTTCCATTTGTATAAATGGTATATCCTCTTTTCGTACGTGGTGACCGGGGGGATATAACTGCTACCCCATTAATAATTTGCAATATCAAAAAATGGTTAAAATGCTTTGCCAAAAAATATTCAAGTGAATTCTTCAAATTTATAACACATATTGGGTTATTTCCAGTACTGTGCTTCCATTTGTATAAATTGTAAATCCTCTTTTTGTGTGGTGAGTGGTGACTGGAGGTGGAAGGGGAGTAACACCCCACCATTAATTTACAATGTCAAAAAATGAAATTCATGTGAATTCTTCAAATATGTAACACATACTGGGTTGTATCTGAAGTACACAATTGCTTAAAAAACTGCATGAACAATTGGCCAAATTATGACTGAAGATGACTTTACTATATATTGGATTGGGTTGAGAGAACCGATTCTTATTATTATTAAAACTGAAATATTTTTTTATTATTATAAAAACTGAAATATTTAAACACAATTGTCATACATGTTAATATAAAGGCCCGTTTACACAACAGTCATTTTTGGGCATGGCACGCCTAACGTTTGGCACGCGAACAACACTTTTTGGTCCGTCGATGCGTTTACACGACTATGGTGGCCTATCGTTGCCACTCAAATTTTCCTTTAAAAAAATCAAAAATTAAATAAAAAACAAAATAAAATGAAAGAAATATAAATAAAATAAAAACCAGTTCATTTTAAAATTCAATACGACTTTTAGCGAGCCTATTGTTGCCAAATGCAAGATTATTTAAATTCTAAAATTAAATATTTTTAATTTTTAGAGGGCCTATCGTATTCAATTTTAAAATGAACTGGGTTTTATTTTATTTATATTTCTTTCATTTTATTTTGTTTTTTATTTAATTTTTTTTTTATGAAAATTTTGAATGGAAATGGCACAGCTAAATTCTAAACCTGCGTGTTGGTCAGCCTTTAGTTCTCCATTTACACGACAAAAATCAGGTGTGCCGTGCCCAAAATGATTGTCGTGTAAACGGTCCTAAAGTATTAGTTACATTGTTAACCAACGAGAATATCATAGTGTCTGAAAGAATATCATTTGTCTTTGCTTTGCCATTTACGAGCCTTCCCACAATACTTTTTACTTTTCATTCTGTATTAGTGATCGAGCGTGACACACCTAACTAAATACTTAATATTTTTCAGTCTATTTCTACAACGGGTATGACCACGAAAAAGTTTAGGATCCTTTTCAAGGATTTTTCACGTTGATTAAACATTTTTGGTTATTTTAAGAATTTTTTGTTATATTTCACTCCGGTTTTCAAATATAATCTAGACTATATTGTCTTTTTAGGTAACTGTGTCTCTCAGTAACCGATTTTTATAAGCAAAGTCATATAAGCTTTTCCTTTTTTTGGTATTTACATTAGCTAGAATTTTGCATGGCAGAGTTGTGTGCTAATTCATGCCGGTATACCTCTTTGAGTTTTCGGCAATTTGCTAATATAAGCCCCGTTTACACTACACTCGATTTATTGGCACGGTACGGCTAAAATGGGTACCCGTGCCCAATTTTATTAGTGCTCAGACTACCAAAACAAAGGCCGGGCACGGATGATATGGGGACGGGTACCCATTTTAGCTGTGCTGTGCCAATAAATCGAATGTAGTGTAAACTGGGCTATAGTACTAAAAGCAGACAACTGAAACCGGCTTGTGTACCAAACAAGCTACAAGTTGTGCTATTTTTTCAATGAACACAAAATGCTCATATGAACAGAAAAATATCAAATGAGAGATTACACAGGAACAAAACCGATTAGCTCGAGCAGTAGTGTGTATGAACTTAATGATGCCAGTATTTAACCAACTCCTGTTCCAACCATTTAAATTTCGCGACCCTTCAGTTGATCTTTACCCTTAGCTGGTTCAAGCAACACACTGAAGATAATAACAAGTCAATAAAGAACTTATAACCTCATACGTGAGCTATATTTTCGAAAACCCCAGACGCCCTGTCAACTATTTTATTCAGCCCTTTCAAGTTTCCTCCTGGCTGCAAAGAATTCGCGGATTGTATTTCTTTCACAACAGTCATTCAGCTATGCTCATTGTCATTGATAGTACTTTTACAGCGATTTTAGTTTGCTAAGAAAAGCGACGAAAAACGTATGCATATATTCACAAATTATAGGGGGACAATACAATAGAACAATGAAACAATAGAATAAACCATCACTGGCATAAACCAATTAACGTGTTGTGACATGCATATCTACAGAATTCCAAGATGGCGGATATTGCATTCCTTTTGATCAAAATATTTGTAAAAGTAAGCAAGATATTAAAAAACGGTAAAAGAGAATCATATATAGTTTTCAACCTTTTTTCAAATGAGGAAATAAAAATATATATTGCCATTTTTTAAGCCCCTCGATAAGCCCTTTTCAATTTAAGCCCCGACCACGCCCTTGCTACGCTCTTTTTTGCCAGGGGCTTGACTCGAAGTCATTTAACCATTTTAGTGTTCGAGTTAAGCCCTGACTTTTGAAAGATGCAAAGAAATTATGTGCGTAAACATTCGTGAATAAAGGGATGTAAAATGGATGAATTTCGACTCAAGCGAAATATTTAATCACACACATCGTTGATGTAAAATAGTTGATTACACCTCAGCAATACCAAATGAACATTTAATTTATACATACAGTAAAATCCCCAGTAAATAAAAAATTGTGACTAATTGAATAAATATAATAAACCCTGATTGATGTTACCTACAATAGTAGAGTACCTATAATAAATTTGAGTAAAGAAAGTTTTCAAAAAATGTAGAACCCCACAATTATCGCACTAGTTCCTGAATAGAAATGTTAGTGGAATTATTTTGACCGGAGGTTATACATTTTTTGAAAACTTTCTTTACTCAAATTTATCGGTTAAGTAATTTATCCATTTTACGTCCCTATATTCACAAATTTTACGCGCAT